GACTCGACCAAGGATCGATTCCTTGACCTTCCGCATCCGAGGCGGACGCTCTAATCATTAGGCCACTGGAGTGAACATCTTGTTGTTGAAGTAGCACATTTCGTAAATGTACGTTCATTTACTGAATAAACAATTACCAACCAATGGTACTGGAAGTTTATACGGGAAGAGAAAATTTTTTCATGTCATTAATTATTTTTTTCCAAATTGGTACTGGTTTATAACCGTAAGAACATATCCATGTGGACACGAAGTTGAAACAGTTAAAGGACTCTAAATGGTGTTGGTCGAAAGTCTAGGAAAATGTTAAATTTAGTTATGTGGGCATATTTCAAAAGATTTGGCATGAAATACACAATCGATTCCAGTACAGGAGAATAAACAAGGTGTAGCTTTTGTAGCTTACATTGGAAATGCAAAACCGAAATGTGAATACGATTATCCATGAACCCGTCAGACGTAATGGTTGCGATTTATTCTGTTATTACAAAGTTACAAAATATCAGAATTTATGAAAGTTTTATTGAAACATAAACTTGAGAAGTTGTTTATTGACAGCTTGTAACATCAAATATCCCAATGACACAAGTGTCCAAGATTTGCGGTATTTTCTAACTAAAGTAATTTAAGTATATTCATTTTCATAGACCTATGAGGAAATAAATATGCTGTTAACTATTCCAAATTGCAGCGTAACTACGCGGTTTCCATACTATATTGTTTATGGGCATTTGAACTAACTCTACTGATGATATAGACCCATCCAATATTTTTTTGGCGGGCACTTTTCATATATTTACAAAATAAATCTCTTAATTTTACTTGAAATTTGTGGTAAGTGAAATTATATAACTGTTTTATCTTACCCTGCATTAGTATGTTCCAACGCAGACATTTTTCGCTTCCAAGATTGTTGAGGCTTTATCAATTTTCATTACAGATAATACAACTGAAACGGAAAAATCGCCCATGCCAGAAAATCCTCGTAAGTTACTGATCAACATACATAATTGTCTTACTAAATGCAGTATATTAATATGTTTCAAAACCTAATCTGCAAAACTTTACGAGATTTCAAAGCAATGAGGTAAATTAAATTGAAGAGCTGTAACGGCCACAAACACAATTAAGATGCTTGGATGATCGATCAACATAGCCACATATTTATCATATTCACGTGAAAGCACTCCAATATAAAGTCTCTAAATCCTAGATTTTCAAATCTTTAAATAAATAGAACAACAGATTAACATCACAGGATTTAATAAAAATAATGCAGTCAAATGATTTAAGACCAGAGTGATTGTGTCTCTCTCATTTGCATTAAACGATGTGAATTTGGGAGCAATTTTTGTTTGAAACTGAGTACGTTATTCATTTGGGGAACGAGTAAAGGAATCAATTGTTGAAGAAGTACAATAACCAATCAATAAATAAATAAACAAGTTGATTATAGATTTCTTATATGAACGTTTGCTTCTTGTTTTCTTTCCTTCGTTAGTATAATTTAGTGAAAGAGAAATTGATAGATTCTTAATGTCATTTTTCTAGCTAGATTGAAACTGGGAGACATCAAGTCAGTCTTCAATAATCTGCCACTTGTAACAAAACGAAGACTGTATTCCATAGTCAACTGTATGTATATCTTAAAGAATGTCTTACCTCTTTCTTCGTAGTACTCTTATTAATATTCAAGAGGCAAATTTGTACACTCAAAAACTTTTAGGTCGTTTAAATGTCGAGTTGTTGATTTTTTAAAAATGTAAATCTGCTTTTAATGTCCAGCATGAAAGAGTGAAATGCCTTTCTACGTACTTTTCTTCTCTGAACACGATATTAAATGCTTGTTAATGGAAAACTTCACGAATTATTACAACTGTGTTTTTTTCTGCATCCCGGTAATTGATTGTATAATTAATTATTTAAGAAATAGGAAGTTTCGTTTCAAATGTAAACATGTGCCCTCAAGAATATTGTTTAGACAGTATACAGTCATTTTAGAGGATGAATATATAACGATATATAATAGTAATCTGGCATTCTGTTCAGTTAACTTTATTTGTCTCTTTTTGCTTGAATTATTACATTTACGTATCTCCGCTCTGTGTACATGTGTAGAAAACCTTTGTACATACTTACATAATTGCATGTATGCATGAATACATACATACATACATACATACATACATACATACATACATACATACATACATACATACATACATACATACATACATACATACATACATACATACATACATACATACATACATACATACCCATTGTTAATGCTTTACTATAACGGCAAATATACCATTAGACATCTAATTATTTCTTTAGTCCTTATCATCATATGTTATATGCACATGACAAGAAGATTTCATTATTTGATTTTCTTCAAGTACTTGGAATGAGCATTGATGATGTGGAGAAGGCTTTGGACAATCCACCAGAGGAAGTGAAGCAGATGTTCGAGCGTAAGAAAGCATTATACATTTGTTCTGACAAGAAAAGAAACAACCAATGCAATCACATTATATCAAATCTAGAAAGCTAACGCTATTAATGAAGTCAGATATCTATCTTATTGTTAAGACAGATTATTAGCAATGCATTAACTATATGTATGAAGGATACTGGCACTTCATTAGTTTATTTACCGTATGAGAATGTATTGAATATTTGCAACATTGAAATGCCAACCATTCATCTTACTGTATGTTAGTCAAGTAAAATGCATTCAATAACGCCCCGTACAAAGAAAGGACACGAAAAAGTTGAAAGAATCCAGAACGGATTTGCTTAACTATATAATATGCAAATTATTTCTAAGATATATATATATATATGTGTGTGTGTGTGTGTGTGTATGTGTATGTGTGTGTAGAAGTTTGAACTTTAAATATCTTGAACAAACTCTGTAGTGAATCTTCATATATTATGATGCCGTTTGTGTGAATTTCGGCCGTTCTACACAACAGCTTTCCTTTAATATCCATCAAAGTGGTAGGCTATAATGCCCTACTTATAGTTTGGAAAGGAACAAAATATTCACGTATGTATTAGAGAATAAGTTCACTCTTGTATCATGTTGGATATATGATATATCATAGCAAAAGGTAATATAAGACAGTTGTATAAAAGATGCTAAATTAAATATGGCCAACATTGGCCACACAAATTTTGTTTTCTGGTGAAATTAATTCAAATGCGAGCTCTTTCATACATAGCCCATTCATTGATGTACCAATTTCCATACAAGCGCAAGAAATTATTTTACATTTCTAGATCAATCACCATTTTAATACAAAAAGTCACATATTCTTAGATATCTTTCAGAGTGATTTTCCTACTGGAATTAAATAAGTGCGTCCGAACTCTCCAATATCTTATTTACTAAATACTACCATGATAAGTTGATTATTTAAACCTTACTCTTACTTCTGAATCAAATAAAGTTGATAGAATGATATAATTGTGATACTTTAGGATACTAAATCAAAGCAAATTGAAAATCATGCATACGGTAAATGAGGGTACAAAGTTTAAGTTGTAATCTACATCGGAGCATATAGAGAGGTTAAATAGATTTTCAACATAGAACCAACAAACAAAAGGTAATGAGTATTTGATTCCAATTATGGATGCGATTAAAGTGCGATCAAAATTGTGGCACAAAACAGCATTAATGTTATACAAGTGTTGATATATTGGTTGCAAACATAAAAATGAAGTAATTGATACAAATATTCCACTCAAACACAAAAACATTGACATATAGTATCATCAGTCCAGGATGATCAAAACTATGATAAACAAGGAGAAATTTAAATTATACATTTGACGTGGATACTGCAAATGTAAGGGAAAGGTCTAAAGTCTCATCCATTTTCCAGGTCAATCATTCAAATACAAACTATATTCTCAGTTGCGAAATGGAAAGTTAAATTCAAGGTAGAACAGAGTAATTATTGCATGAAGAGGCTGTTCAAACATTTGAATGGCAATGTTTAACAGCAATCTTACCTCCGTCATACATTTAAAAGAATTGGAAGTAAAGCTGCGAATTATTACAAATTAAAGTGACAATTTATGTACATGGATGTTATGCTGCATTGTATACTACTTCAATAAACGGTTTGTCAAACGTAAAATACTTTCGTGATCTATTGATACTAATGTATACATTCACTAAACGACAACTGTCCGAGTCGACATAACTACACCAAAAGTGGATTTTAGGACCAAGAGAAAGAGCAGTATTTAAGGAACTCATGATGTGATCGCGAAAGTATAATCATTCACGCATAGATCTATTAACTGTGCAAAGAAATCAAATGTTTCTAAACGGAATATGCTGTGTTTGATCAAACTAATGGTTAAATGAACAAAACATACGTAGCCCTGTTTTGGCTTCCAAACATACAGCGACGGACACAATGGATAGTCCAGATGAGCGTACATGTTTAGAAACTCCATCAAGCTTTGTCAAAACGAATCATAGAATTTCAAAATATACATGCTCAGGTACACGACACATTTACATCTTGAAATCACGAAAGCCAGGCAAAGACAGCTTCAAGTTAGGAAAAGTTCTTACCAGAAATAACTCTGTGACCTGTTGCAAAACTGCATATTGGAACATTCCTATATATTAGTACAGAATGGTATCTATAGTAGGAAGGTTAAACAAATCGATCAAAACAACAATGTTCAAATATTTTGTATTTGTCACGAGAATAGATGAAAAACAGAAACAATCTCTGAAAGTCGTATGTCCGTTTCCATCTCCCGCTATCTGTATATATTCTAATAATCAGTTAATTATATCTAACCAATTTTTATAAGTACATGCATGTATACATGCCTAAGGCTCATATACATAACACCAAGAGAAGCAGAATTGGAAATTCCTTCTCAAGCTGCCCGTTTCCTACCGCTATACATATTAATTTTTATTTTTCTCTGACTAAACAGTGTTGTCTATGAATATGAAATAAAGATATTATTATCTGATCTCTCAGGTTTCTGTTTTACTTCCAGCTCTGGGGCTAGGCATTGACGACATGAGA